ACATAATGATGGCTGACTGGGAACAGTTATGGACCACAGGTATTAAGTTTACGGCATGTAATGCCTAAAGAGAGAATATTATGAAAATGATTTACAGGTGGTACATGACACCAGTCAAGCTTGCAAAAATCTATCATTTGCCCGATAATAAATGTAAAGAAACTGAAGGTACATTCTTTCACCTTTGGTGGACGTGCCCAAGGATTAAGGCTTTCTGGGAGATGATTTATAATGAAATGAAAAAGGTATTTAAATATACCTTCTTGAAGAAACCAGAGGCCTTTCTCCTGGGCATGGTCGGCCAATTGGTGTTAAAGAAGGATAGAACTTTCTTTATGTATTTTACAACAGCAGTGAGAATACTTATTGCAAAGTATTGGAAGACACAAGATTTACCCACTCTGGAAGAATGGCAGATGAAGGTGATGGACTATATGGAACTGGCGGAAATGACTGGCAGAATCCGAGACCAGGGAGAAGAGTCGGTGGAAGAAGATTGGAAGAAATTTAAAAACTATCTACAGAAATACTGCAAAATTAATGAATGTTAGAATGATGTTGGATTGAAGTTAAGTGGTTTTTAGCAGCAATGTTATAAAGGAATATGTAAAAATGGATTGTTAACATTGTTAACAGGTGATAATTTAAAGCTATAATATATTAAGATAAAAGATTAAGATAAAATCAAAGAGGGAAAGGAATTGCTGAATTAACTAATTGAACTGGAATACAAAAAAGGGAGGTGTGAGGAGGTCAGGGAAACAAGCAAATGAAAGATAAGATATGGAAAGACTGACTTGCTTTTAACTGTTTTTACCTTGTTTTTTTATTTTCGTTTTTTTAATTTTCTTTTACTCTTTTCTCTTACTTTTGTAATATGCTGAAACTTTAATAAATATCTTATATAAAAAAAAGACTATGCAAAAGCCTTTGACTGTGTCGACCACAGCAAACTATGGCAAGTTCTTAAAGAAATGGGAGTGCCTGATCACCTCATCTGTCTCCTGAGAAATCTCTATGTGGGACAAGAAGCTACAGTTAGAACGGGATATGGAACAACTGATGGGTTCGAAATTGGGAAAGGAGTACGGCAAGGCTGTATATTGTCTCCCTGCTTATTTAACTTATATGCAGAATTCATCATGTGAAAGGCTGGGCTGGATGAATCCCAAGTCGGAATTAAGATCGCCGGAAGAAATATCAACAACCTCAGATATGCAGATATTACAACCTTGATGGCAGAAAGTGAGGAGGAATTAAAGAACCTTTTAATGAGGGTGAAAGAGGAGAGCGCAAAATATGGTCTGAAGCTCAACATCAAAAAACAAAGATCATGGCCACTGGTCCCATCACCTCCTGGCAAATAGAAGGGGAAGAAATGGAGGCAGTGAGAGATTTTACTTTCTTGGGCTCCATGATCACTGCAGATGCTGACAGCAGTCACGAAATTAAAAGACGCCTGCTTCTTGGGAGAAAAGCAATGACAAACCTAACAGCATCTTAAAAAGCAGAGACATCACCTTGCCAACAAAGGTCCTGTTACCAGAAAAATCCGAGGGCTCCCTTGGACAAAAACAAAGACACCAACCAGAGTAAATTGGAGCAAATCAGCAGCCTGTAGGCTTGGCCTTTATTGAACTGTTGCAACAGGGTGCTCCCCTCACTTGCAGGAGAGAGGAGGGACCCAGAAAAATGGTGTGCAAGGCCTTATAAAAACTTTTGAAATTCCCACCCTGTAGATCAAGACCACCCCCAGAAACATCATGCATACATCACAGAAAGGAGAGGTTGAGGGAGGAGTTGTGGTGGTAACCTGAGTGTCCTGTCACCTGGCTGGTTCCCCCTTTCCCCCTCCCCATGAATCATTTTCAGAAGACAAAAGGTAGTCGCAGTTTCCTGCCCCCTGAGGGGGAATCCAATCACTGTTCTTTTGTTATAGTCCGTGTTGAATCCACTCGTGTATGCAGTCCGTTGTGTTGTTGATGGTCTTCTGTCTGAGACCATCAGGGTTGGCACAGCAACTGGGCAGGGCTCCTGTGGATGTACTGGTATGCTCAATGGATTATGGCTGCCCTGTATCAAACCTTCCCCATTTTGTAGTCCTTCCTTCATGGAGTAAAATAAAAGTGGAACAGTGCAAATCCAATGTATGGTTGATTTTCTATGAATTTATAACAGAAGCGTAGTGTGTGTCGTGTGTGAGTGTGTGTTAAGTTTCTACAAACTGAATGATGGGGGGGGGGGGGTTCCTGCGACAGTCCGTATAGTAAAAGCTCTGGTTTTCCCAGTAGCGATGTATGGAAGTGAGAGCTGGACCATAAAGAAGGCTGATCGCCGAAGAATGGATGCTTTTGGATTCTGGTGCTGGAGGAGACTCTGGAGAGTCCCATGGACTGCAAGAAGATCCAACCTCTCCATTCGGAAGAAAATCAGCCCTGAGTGCTCACTGGAAGGACAGATCCTGAAGCTGAGGCTCCAATACTTTGGCCACCTCATGAGAAGACAAGACTCCCTGGAAAAGACCCTGATGTTGGGAAAGATGGAGGGCGCAAGGAGAAGGGGACGACGGAGGACGAGATGGTGGGACAGTGTTCTCGAAGGTGCCAGCATGAGTCTGACCAAACTGCGGGAGGCAGTGGAAGACAGGAGTGCCTGGCGTGCTCTGGTCCAGGGGGTCACAAAGAGTCGGACACGACAAAACGACTAAACAACAACGTCATAAGAGAATCAGGGTCAGAGAGGGGAATAAAGGAAAAATGATCCTAATGATATCATCCTACCCCAAAGTCCCACAACAATAATAAACTGTGCCTTAAAGAACGCATTGTTGGGAATATGCCATCTTACTGTGTCTTTTCACGTATCATTGAATGTAATATGATGTGTGCCTTTTTAATGCATCATCTTAACGTGACGTGCCTGTTGCCATTCCTGTCTTTCTCCATGAAGCTATCCTTTTAAAATGTATTCGTGGATGTATCTTTAATGAAATGCCGTACTATGCTGTACTTTTCTGAATATATCCAAAATGTAGTTTTTAAAGAATGTAACAATCTAAATATTTCAAAATGTAGTTTTTACTCAATATTGTATCCAAAAGGCTGCCAAAACTCAATCCACCACACTGCCTCCTACTGGGTCTGCAAACCATACCATGAATACACACAGATATGAGCTCAAAATAAAGCAGTCCTATTTTCCAAAAAGTATGCAAACATCAGGCTATCACACCTGAATTGATAGCAATGCAGAATAGGATTTCACATTAACATTTAAGTCATTTCCTGAACATCTTCTCAAACATCCAGCCTCACATCTGCATGCTGATTATCAGCAGTTGCGGAGGTTTTCCTGTAGATAAAGGAAAAGCCATTTTAAGCAGATCTAAAATTAAATAACACGAAGATCGACACATATCACCTGAGCCCTTCAGCAAATTGACACCTCCAGAAAGTCTTTCAACATCCTGCTCACCTTATGTTAATCCACTCTTCACACCACTCATGTCGTTTCCCCCCACCTCCTTGCTATTGATCTGAATGAAAATCAAAAGGTATAAGAATCAAGGCAGTCCTTTTGTTCAGGGTCTCTGACTCCATGTCATTGCGTGAGCGGAGACCCTGTTGCAACAGTTTTTTGTGTTGTTTTTTTCTGTTCTTTCAATAAAGATCAGGCTTTGCTTTTTCCAAATCCTGGTGTGGTCTCTGTCTTTTCCCGACCGGTACAGAGCCTTCATTTGCGCTCCTTCCAAGGCCCTGGTCCTCCTTCTGAGGCAGGGGCCCCTTGGGGAGGCAATTAAATATTTATTTCAACAAGTAGGTTCTTTGGGCCAGGGGGAGGCTTTAGGTAATTCCTGGAGGCTCCGGGTGGAGCTCTACCAGGTGGCAAGATAACGAATCGGCTGGGGCGCAATTCCCTGATTGAATGTCCCACACAAATACCCTCCCCTGAAAGAGTGGCGCAAGTCTCGTTCTTGCAGGAGCAACTGGGTGTTCCATTGTGACTGGCAAGGTTTCAAAATCTCATGTTGGAGCAGCTTTTTGATGTGAGCATGCCATGTCCCTTCCAGAGCGAAACAGCAGCTGAAAATAAAACTTTGACAAAGTTCCCAGGAAACTTTCGCTTGCTTTTTTAAAAAGAAGTTACTCTTGAGGTCCTTGCTTAGAGCATGGGGTGGGTAAACTTTGGTGTTCTGGGTTTATGTTGTTGGGCTGTGTGATAGGAATTTTATGGTCTTAGATATATGGTAATATTCATAACTGCACATACCTAGATCAACACAGGAAGACCAACCTGGAACCATTTTGATTCCTAAACTGACCAAATGTTTTCTCTGCAAAGTCAAAATGGAAAAGCCTCCCCATTGTCTCTTCCTTCACAAATCCTGTCTTAATCTGTGTTTGAATAAGGGTGTGAGCCTTATCATTACAAAAGACTGGCCAGGCTCCCAAGGCAATCCAATCAAGTAACCTGCCAGACAGGAAATAAACAAGGACAAGAGAAAAACAACATTTAAATTTCTGTGATGTAGATGGGATGTATCTGAGGGGTGGTCTTAGGTTACACCCCTTGTGTGATGTATGTATGATGTATGGAGGGGTGGTCTTGTGCTCCAGGGCAGGGAATTTAAAATGTCTATATTGTAGAATAGTGGGTAGACATGGCAGACGACACAGCGATTTCTCCAAAGCAGCTCTTAATTTTGTAAGCTGGAACAGAACTGAACAGCAAACAGCTCAGCCGGCCTGCTTTTATAGGCAGCCGGCTGTCAACATTGTAGCAGCAACAACCCAGGGTTTCCCGCCTAAAATAAATGACGTGGACCTGAGTGAAAACTATCTACAGTATCCCCCTGCTGGCCCAGGGTGAGAACTTCAGTACATAACACCCCTCCCCACCGAGATAAGGCGTTAGTTACAATCGTAATGGTTTCCTTATATACAGCACTACACGTAATGGTTCAATTAGGCACAAAAGCATATCGGTTACATTTCCCATACTTAGACCAACAGTGATACATGTCCAACAACATAGTCCTTTAAATAAGTTGGGCGCTTGGAAACTCTGCCAGACCGCCGGGGACTGGTAGCCAAGTCCGGGGGGCCACACAATTCTTGCTGAGGCTGTGGTGCGACCCTAGGTGGCGTTGAAACCAAATCCCCTGGATCCGCTGCTGTGGGTGGAGCCTCCACAAGTGGAATGGTCTGAGTCTGTGGTAAGTCTGGCAGAGCCTCTGAAGCAGCTTGGTTCGGCTCCACGCCCGCAGTCTGCGAGAGAGGTGTAGGTGGAGCCTCGCCATCTGTAAGTGTCTCTTCCGGAGCCACAAGCGCAGTTGGGGAAACCACGGTAGTGTCCAAGTCCCCAACCCTGCGCCTAAGCTGGTCTATGTGTCGGCGCCACAAGCGTCCGTCTTCAAGTGCCGCCTGATACGAGTGAGGTCCAGTGACTCCCACTACTGTGGCTGGCACCCAAGGAATGTCCCCCACATAGTTCCGGGCAAAGACCTGGTTTCCTGGAACAAATGACCGTGGCGCGTTGGCACAGCCTGGGGGTTCGGCCACGGCAAAGTCCGGGTGCAGCCGGTCGAGCGGTGACCTGAGGCGGCGGCCCATAAGCAGTTCAGCAGGACTCCGCCCTGTGGTCGCATGAGGGGTGATGTGTTGCACGAACAAGTATTCGGTGACCCGCTCGTGCCAGTCTCCCCGGTCCAGGCGCCCCAGTGCCTCTTTTGCCGAGCGCACCATTCTCTCCACTTGCCCGTTACTGGAGGGATGAAAGGGTGCCGTTAGGGCATGGCGGATACCCAGTCCCAAAAGATACCGCTCAAAAGTGCCTGACGTGAACTGCGGTCCGTTGTCGGAGACAAGAACATCAGGACACCCATGCGTCGCAAAGAGGCCTCGCAGCACCCAGATGACGGCCTCGGTAGTAGTGGAGGGCATCAGGGCCACCTCCAGCCATTTGGAATAGGCGTCCACCACTACCATAAAGGTCCGGCCGTGAAAGGGGCCAGCCGGATCGATGTGCACCCTCGACCAGGATGTCTTGAGCGTCTCCCAGGTGTGTCCCTTAGCTGCCGGTGGTGCAGGCCTCGATTCTTGGCACGCTTGACAGGCGGAAACCCAGGCAGTGATGGCATCGTCCATGTTAGGCCACCAGACGTAACACCGAGCCAACGCCTTCATTTTGACGATTCCCGGGTGGCCAACGTGCAGAGCCTCCAGGACACGTTGACGGAGTCTTTGGGGAATCACGACGCGGTCTCCCCACAGCACACAGCCGCGATGAGCTGAGAGTTCATGTTGTCTGGTTGCGAAGGGCTGGAACTCCGGTGCAAAAGGCCCTTGTGGCCACCCCCTCCACACCCAGTTGAGCACACAGCTGATGGTGCGATCCTGGGCAGATGCGGAGGCCACAGTGGCAGCCGATACAGGCGCTGCCGGAAGATCCTCAATCAGGAGGAGCGATGAAGCTGGAGCCGGGTCTTCCACAAACGCTGGAAGAGGGCAACGGCTGAGGGCGTCGGCATGGCCCATCGATTTCCCCGGGCGATGGACGAGCCGGTAGTGGTAGGCAGCCAGGAAAACAGTCCATCACAGCATGTGCGGCGAGAGGACTGGTGGAGTTGGTCGATCACCGGCGATCCCAGGAGCGGCTTGTGGTCGGTGATGAGGTCAAAAGTCCTGCCGTAGAGGTATTCATGGAACCTCTTCACTCCAGCCACAAGTGCCAGTGCCTCCTTGTCGAGCTGGCTGTAATTCCGTTCCGTCGGAGATAGCGTCCTGGAAAAGTAGGCGAGCGGTGCTTCTCTTCCGTCTGGAAAACGATGACTAAGGACAGCGCCAATGCCAAAAGGTGAGGCGTCGCAGGCAAGGACCAGTGGCCTGGATTCACTGTACTGTACCAGCACACGGTCCAATGAAAGGAGAGCCTTGACCGCGTTGAAGGCCGCCGTCTCCCGATGACCCCAGGACCAAGGCGTCTTTGTGCTGAGGAGTCGGTGAAGAGGCTCAGCCACCGTGGCTTTGTGGAGCAGGAACATGTTATAAAAGTTCAGCAGTCCCAGGAATGCCTGCAACTCCGTCTTGTTCTGTGGGATGGGGGCCTGCTGGATAGCGCGGATCTTGGATGTGGTTGGGTGAAGGCCGGAGGCGTCGATAAGATAGCCCAGGAACTCCACCTGTGGAACGGCAATCTGGCACTTCTCCCTCTTTACCTTGAGCCCGGCCTCCTGGAACCTGGTCAGCACGGCACGGAGGCGCTCAAACAGCTGCTGGTGTGAGTCTGCGGACACCAAGACGTCATCAAAATATGGTACCACGCCCGGAAGCCCTTGCAGGAGACGCTCCATAAGGCTTTGGAAGATGCCAGGAGCCACACTCACCCTGAACTGCAAACGGCGGCAACGGAATGCCCCTCGGTGGGTGACGATCGTCTGGGCTTCAGCAGTGGCATCATCAACGGGCAGTTGTTGATAGGCTTGGGCAAGGTCCAGCTTAGCGAAGACCTTACCCTCACCCAGGGAATGCAGCAGGTGTTGGACAGCAGGAACCGGATAAGCGTGCTGCTGAAGTGCCTTGTTGATCGTGCACTTGTAGTCAGCGCAGATTCTCACCGACCCGTCTGGCTTGACAGGCGTGACGATGGGGGTTTCCCACTTGGCGTGGTCAACCGGCTCCAAAACTCCTTGGGCGATCAGCTTGTCCAGTTGTTCGTCCACCTTAGCCTTGAGAGCAAAGGGAACCCGGCGTGGCTTTAGCTTGATGGGGGCGACTTGTGGATCAAGGCTAAAGGAGATGGGCGTACCTGTATATTGCCCCAAAGTGCCGTCAAAAACCTCGGCAAAGTCTTTGACCAGACCCTCAGTCTCTGCGTTAGAGATGCAGTTGATGCCGGTGACTTCCAGGCCGAGGGCATCAAACCAGTCTAGCCCTAGGAGGCTTGGCCGCTGACCTTCGACCACCACCAACCAGAGCAGGCCCGAAAAATCCTTGAAGGCAATCCGGAACCGGCCAACGCCTACCACAGGAATGTCGTTTCCCTGGTAGTCTCTCAGGTGTACGCGGTGAGAGTCAAGTTGCCTTTTGGACACTCTGGGTACCAGTCTTTTGATGGTGCTCCAAGACACGATGGACAGGGCAGACCCGGTGTCGATCTCCATGACACATGGAGCTCCTTCAATGAGCACTGTGACGTTCAACTTGCGTCGTGTAGGCAAGTCGGTTTGGCCAATCGTGGTTCCAGACGGGCAGCGGCACTTGGTGAGAGCGAAACAGCTTTCCTTGGCGGACTGGAGTGAAGACTTGGACTTGCGAGTCGTTGAAGGGGGGGTGTCAGACGGAGCTGATCGGCAGACCTTAGCGATGTGGCCCCTTCTGGAATACTTCCTACAGATGGCGTCTCTGAATCGACACTTGGTACGGGAATGGTTGCCTCCGCAGCCGGCACATTCCGCTTGGCCCTTGGACTTCTGTTGGAACTTCCTGCGCTCCCGCTTTGTCTGGTGCACGTCATCGTCTTCACTGAAGGATGCCTCATCACTGCTGGCCTCTTCATGATGCACTGGAACTGGCTTCCTAGCAAGACGCGGGCTGCTGGATTTGCAGATCTCCTTCCGAGGCCACAGCCTCCTCAATGGCTTTCTGTAGCGTGAGGTCTGGCTTGGCGAGGAGACGCCGCTGCAGATGGATGTCCCGGACCCCGCAGATGATTCGATCCATCAGGGCATCGTCTAAGTCTCGGAACTCGCACTGCATTGCAGCCTGTCTGAGGGCTGGGGAGACCCAGCGAGATGGGCAGGGTACAAATAAATTATTATTATTATTATTATTATTATTATTATTATTATTATGGAATGCCCTCCCACCAGATGTCAAAGAGAAAAACAACTATCAGACTTTTGGAAGACATCTAAAGGCAGCCCTGTTCAGGGAAGTTTTTAATGTTTAATAGGTTGTTGTGTTTTAGTGTTCTGTTGGAAGCCGCCCAGAGTGGCTGGAGAAGCCCAGCCAGATGGGCGGGATATAAATATATTATTATTAATTATTATTACCGTATTTTTCGCCTTATAGGACGCACTTTTTCCCCTCCAAAAATGAAGGGGAAATGTGTGTGCGTCCTATGGGGTGAATGCAGGCTTTCGCTGAAGCCTGGAGAGCGAGAGGCGTCGGTGCGCACCGACACCTCTCGCTCTTCAGGCTCCAGGAAGCTATCTGCAAGCCTTGCGCACCCGGGGGGAGTACCCCCGGGAGCGCAAGGCTTGCGGGCGGCAGCCTGCAGCGCGGAGCACGGGGTGCCCTCCGGAGGACGCCCCGTGCTTCGCGCAGGTGTCTGCAGCCTGCCGCCCGGCGCGTGGGGCACCCTGAAGCAGAGCGCCCCTCACGCCGGGCAGACATCGGTCAGCCCCACAAGCGCGGGGGACAACGGGGAGGCGCAGCGCCGCCATCCCACTGTTCCCCGACCTGGTTTTGGGGGGGAAATAAAGGGAAAAAAATTTTCCTTCCCCCCCCCAAAAAACGTAGGTGCGTCCTATGGGACGGAGCGTCCTATGGAACAAAAAATACGGTACTAGTACTACTACTACTACACAAGATCCAGTGTAACCAGTAGTTCTATAATATCGCATAGCAACTTGTTTCTCTTGTCTATTCCTAAGCCATTTCTTTTTCTTGCTTTAGGACGGTCGATGGCAAAGGAAGGCAACCGCGCAGCAGAAGCTCCAGGCCCAGTTTGGTGTGTTTCGGAGCATCTCGAAATAAAAGAGAGCCTGCACATCTGCAGGAACTGAAGCCTTTCATCCTCTGTGGCTCCCGCCGGGAATCTGCTGAAATCCCCAAAGAAGCAGAAAAGGACAACACGTGATCATTAACCCTTCCAGGGGTTGCGCAGCCTCAAGGTCCAGGATCGAACCCGCGGCATCCCCACGTGCATCTTGCTGCGCTCCTCTACCCTGCTAGCTCTAGGGTCCAGCTCTAGGGTTGGAATGAGAGCAGCGCGAAGAGGGAGGAAGGGGGGGAGAAGCACACTTGGTACATTCCACGTCCTCCTGTTTCGACCAGTGACCCGGGTGCGCCTTCGGTATCTATGCCAGGCCTTGGAAGCCCGCCTGGGCTACGACGGGTTCCTGAAGAAATCGAGGAATGGCGCGGCCTGGCCTGGTCTTCTCTCCCTCTCTCTCTCCCCCCCCGCACCCCCGGCAATGGTTTGGCCCGGAGCGGAGGCTGGAAGAAGCGGCCGGAAGCGGAAGAAGGGCGCGAGGGAAGTGGCGGTTGAGGGAGAAAAGCGCGGGAAGAGCGGCGGAGCCGACCAAGTGAGTAAGGCGGCGGGGGGGAGATGGGGCTGAGAGGGGAGGCGGGAAGCAGAAGGGCGAGGCGAGGCGCGGGCCTGGAGGGGGAGCGAAGGGAGCCGGATTCCCGCAGCCTCCGCCGGCTCGTCTCTCCCTCGGAAGAATCCCGGGCTCCGCGCTGTCTCCCCCCCCCCGCTCCGCGGAGATGGTCTGTCCCGGCCTTTCAAGGCGCCGCCGCTGAGGGGGAAGAAGGCGCTTCCTTCGAAGGCCTCTGGCGGCGGGAGGGGCGGGGGCTCCGCGCGGAGAAGCGCAGGGACGCCGAGGTAGGAGAAATACCTGAGGGAGCCCGGCCTCTCGCGAGAATGGGCCTCTTCCCGCGTGGTCGGGGGGGGGGCGCGGAGGCCGGCAATGGAGGCGCAGCGGGGAGGAGGCGGTGGGGGGGTTGGGCTGGACGGGGCAGGCCAGCAACCACCACCCCGTCACTCTTCCATGGGGAGCAGGGATATTTTGCAAACGCACAGTGAGTAATTGTGAACGGAGAAATCTGAGTTCTCCCTTGGACAAAAAACAAGGACCCCAGCCAGGAATCCCAGAGCCAAACAACAGCCAGGAGGCTTGGTCTTGATTGAAGACTGTCGGACAGGACTCCCACCTGCCACCAGGTGGAACAAGATGGAAGCCCCGAACAAAAGGAGAACCCAAACTTTTATTAGCTGCTCATCCCCGTGTTACACCCCCCCCAAACTACATCACTCATACATCATGAAAGGGGAGGTCTGGTTCGCCAGAAGCGGCTTAGTCCTGCTAGCCATATGACCTAGAAGCTGTACGCCGGCTCCCTCGGCCAGTAAAGCGAGATGAGCGCCACAACCCCAGAGTCGTCCGCGACTGGACCTAATGGTCAGGGGTCCCTTTACCTTTAATCCCCATCTTACATCCCCCCCAAACTACATCATGGTTACATCACTAAAGGGAAGGTCTGGTGGCCGTAATCTGAGCATCCTGGACCCTGCCCCATGGTTCCCCTTGCCCTCCACCAAACACCCATCAAGTGGAACAAAAGAGATATTCACATTTCCCTGTTTCCCAGCCAAGTTCATCCCACCTTTTTGTCTTCATCTGGGTTTGTTATTTCTGGAATGGCTACCTGTCTGGCACTCAGGTATCAGGAGGCCAGGGATTATCACTCAGGCAGAGGGGCTGCTGAGGAGCTGAGCTCACGTGTCTAGATGAATTTCTGATGTTTTCCCAGTGAGCCAGTATATAGGAACATTTGTCAGTGAATTCTTACATTTGGTATCGTGCAGCAAAGGCCCTTTGAATAGATAGGAAGAAACTGTGACCAAGTGTTTTGTTGGGACAAGTCACCAAAGTGATTGTGCTGGTTTTGGTAGTGGGCTGCATGTGCATGATATCTGCTGGAGGGGCAACACGCCCCCACACCTATACATAAATTCCTGCAACAATACATAGACAGGTGCATTCACAACATTATGCCAAAATAAGGCGAGAAACCTCCATTTCCCCTTGTAACCTGAAAACTGACCAATCAGGAGCCACTTCGTTTGACAGCCACCCAATCAGAAACAGCGCTGGCAGCCCCTTAAACTTCAAATCCCCTTAATGGACAATGGCCTTTATAAGAAGAGCTGCGTAAATAGCAGGCGAACTCTGCAGCGCTCAGAAAAACCCTCTGCAAAGAGCAGGTCAACATCTCACCCATCAAACAGCAGGGCTTAAAACTGAACCATGAAATCATAGAACTGTAGAGCTGGAAGGGACCACGAGGGTCATCTAGTCCAACCCGGTGCAACGCAGGAATCTCTTGCTTTACAAAAAAGCTCAAGATACAGGTTGATCTACCCACACTGAGTTGTTATCTCTGAGAAACGTAGAAAATAACAGGATATATTTACACGAATTCTTCAAACTTTCACGACCCTTTAAAAATTAGCTGATGAAGGTGAATACGTCGAAACAGGGCCCTGTCCTGGTTTCTGATCCATAATTGACTTCTGACTTCTGCCCAGTGATTGAAACTCAGACCCTCACGTCAAATTTGACTATGGACTAACATGAACTTTTCTCTACTCATAAACTCTTATCTCTAATACTGTAACGAATCATTGTATTATACATATCCTTATGAGTTTGTAATCTTTGTTTCAGTTTGTAATCTCTATTTGTGTTTGTAATCCTTGTCAGAATACTTACTTTTGAATGGATTAGTTTTTGTTACAATTGACTATTGATTTGCAAGTAGGGACCACTCTCACTATTGAAACTTATATTGGCCAGAGTTCTTGGTGTGCTTTTTTCTTGGTATATTTAATAACAAGAACTCCAACTTATTTAACATCGTTCTCTATCAACTGAGCCTTCCCAGGTTTGTGGAAATCATCAGTTAAGTCAATAAAACCCTGTTGTATGAATGGAAAGCAATGGAAAAACACTGTAAATATCCAAACTGTTTTATTTTGTACAGGAGGGTAAAATAAGAAATACAAAAGCATAAATAAAGTGTTTCTGAGCCGCAGTGGTGGGCAGAGAAGGGGTGGCCATAATCCCAGAAGCAGAAGGGCACCAACTCGGACCTTTTCCTCTCAGCTGTCAATGGGCCACCAGACCTGATAAAGGGAAAGACAGAAAATCATACTGTATACTCACAATATTGGCACAAGAGACTGGATGAGCAGAACGGAGCTGACATAACTGTAATGCCAAAAGGAACGTAAAATATTTGCTCCGAGAGGAAAAGGCAGGCAATACACTGACACCTTGACTGACAGGTGACAGGTCATGGACTCAAAGGACTGTCTCTCACTCCACCTGTTTTATGGCAGGGCATGAGATTTGAATGAAGCTTCTCTGAAATGAATTGTGGAGGGGAAATGTAACTTCTAAAAGGAGTTACATGCCTTTGTTTGGGGCTTATTCTTTCCTGGCTTATAGGTTGAAAGCTTATCGCAGCAATAAAAACAAGGCTTAATAGCTGCTTCTTGCTTTCCTATACCTGGCTGTGGTTTCTTGATTTATCCTGACTGGTGAAAGGACCTCGCGGGGCGCGCTGCAACCAGGGATACCCAGATTTCAAGTCACCTTGGCAACCACGAAAGGACGATGGGGCTGAATAGCCGCTTTTTGCTGGCATTTATTTCTCTGACCTGCACGAGGACCTCTGGGGATAACAGTACCCAGATTTCCACTCAAAACCAGGGTGCAAACTGGGAGTTGCCTTGGAGCATGCACAGAGTGCACACGATGGGTGGGCAAAGGGGAATGCTGAACCGCGGGCCCTCTCTCCCATCCCCCTTTGGCCTGAGACTCCTGGCACCCCCCCACACCCTGCCTCCACCCAACCCAGGCATGTCCTGTGTTGCTCCTGCAGTCAGAGAAGGGGGTCCTCTAGCCACTCGGGCAAACAGATCCCCAAGTCCTGCTTCCCCTCCCTCTTTTTCCTGGACCATAAGAGCAGGGCCCCCATTTTCCGAGTAAGCTGGGCCTGCATTGAGGCGTGTAGTGGTGATAGGGGATTCCCTACTGAGGGGAACAGAAGGAGTGATCTGTGGGCCTGACAAGATGTCTCGGGAAGTGTGCTGTCTCCCCGGGGCTAAGATCCAAGATGTGACTGAACGACTGCAAGGAATCATAAAACCCACTGACAAATACCCCTTCCTCTTGGTTCATGTGGGAACCAATGACACTGCAAGCAATAGCCTCCAGAAGATCAAAAGAGACTACGAGGCTCTGGGCAGGAAATTGAAGCAATTAAATGCAGAAATTGTCATCTCATCTGTCCTCCCAGTTGAACGACGTGGCCCAGGGAGAGAGGGAAAATAGTGGAAGTGAACAGCTGGCTTCGCAAATGGTGTAAACAGGAACGGTTTGGATTCTTAGATCACGGACTGCAGTTTCTTGAAGATGGACTTCTGGCAAGCGATGGGCTGCACCTCACAACGTATGGGAGAAATGTTTTTGCCAAAAATCTCAGAAACCTCATCAGGAGGGCTTTAAACTGACTAATGTGGGGGAGGGAGACAGTGCTCCTGAAGGTAGGAGTCTATCAATTGATGAAGATGATCAACCAAATGTCATAGACCAAATGGAGCAAACAGCACACAGTCCTAGTGGTGGGAGGAAAAAATCCTTAAATAAGAGTCACGGGGGAATGATTAATGGACTTCAATGTCTGTACACTAATGCGCAAAGCATGGGAAATAAACAAGATGAGCTTCAGCTCTTGGTACAGCAAACTAAATATGACATAATAGGCATCACTGAAACCTGGTGGGATAAGTCCCACGATTGGAATGTAATAATGGGGGGGATACAATCTATTTCAGAGAAACAGACCAGACAAGAAAGGAGGAGGAGTGGCGTTATATGTCAGGGATGTGTATACCTGTGAAGAGATCCAAGATTTAGAACCTCAAAGCCAAAGTGAGAGCATTTGGGTCAAAATTAAGGGAGAGAAGAATAACAGTGACCTCATTGTGGGAGTTTACTATAGATCCCCAAGCCAAACGGAGGACATAGATGATGCCTTCCTGGAACAGATGGCCAAGCATGCAAAAGGAAGGGAGATAGTAGTAATGGGGGACTTCAATTACCCGGATATTTGTTGGATGTCAAACTCAGCCAAGAGCATAAGGTCAAACAGATTCCTCACTGGCCTTGCAGACAACTTCATTGTCCAGAAAGTGGGAGAAGCAACAAGAGGAACAGCCATTTTAGATCTGGTCCTAACCAATGTTGATGACCTGGTTAGTGGGGTAGAAGTGGAAGGATCATTAGGTGCGAGTGATCATGCTCTTCTGAAGTTTACTATACAGCGGAAAGGAGCAGCCAAGCATACTAGGACTCAATTTCTTGACTTTAAGAAAGCTGACTTCATAAAACTTAGGGAAGTGCTGGGTGAGATCCCATGGACAGTAATACTAAAAGGAAAGGGAGTTCATGATGGCTGGGAGTTTGTTAAGAGGGAGATAGTAAAAGCACAACGTCAGGCAATACCAATGAGACAGAAACATGGAAGGTGCCTAAAGAAGCCAGGGTGGCTATCTAAAGAACTTTTAACTGAGTTAAGATTAAAAAGGGATGTGTACAAAAAATGGAAAAGGGGGGAAACCACCAAAGAGGAATTCAAACAAATAGCCAGCACGTGTAGACACAAAGTCAGAAAAGCTAAAGCACAGAATGAACTCAGGCTTGCTAGAGAGGTTAAAAGCAACAAAAAGGCTTTTATGGGTATGTCCGTAGCAAAAGGAAGAACAAAGAAACAGTGGGGTCACTCAGAGGAGAAGATGGTGAAATGCAAACAGGGGACACAGAAAGAGCTGAACTCCTCAATGCCTTCTTTGCCTCAGTCTTCTCCAATAAAGAAAACAATGCCCGACCTGAAGAATTTGGAGCAAATGATTCAGCAAAGGAAACACAGCCCAGAATAACTAAGGAGATAGTAGAAGAATACTTGGCTAGTTTAGATGTATTCAAGTCTCCAGGGCCAGACGAACTGCATCCAAGAGTATTAAAAGAACTGGCAGATGTGATCTCAGAACCACTGGCAGTCATCTTTGAGAATTCCTGGAGAACAGGCGAAGTCCCGGCAGACTGGAGGAGGGCAAATGTTGTCCCTATTTTCAAAAAGGGGAAAAGAGAGGACCCAAATAATTACCACCCAGTCAGTCTGACATCAATACCAGGGAAGATTCTGGAGCAGATCATTAAGCAAACAGTCTGTGAGCACCTAGAAAGGAATGCTGTGATCACCAATAGTCAGCATGGATTTCTGAAAAATAAGTCATGTCAGACTAACCTGATCTCGTTTTTGACAGAATTACAAGCCTGGTAGATGAAGGGAACGCAGTGGATGTAGCCTACCTTGATTTCAGCAAGGCATTTGACAAGGTGCCTCATGATATTCTTGTAAAGAAGCTGGTAAAATGTGGTCTTGACTATGCTACCACTCAGTGGATTTGTAACTGGCTGACTGACCGAACCCAAAGGGTGCTCATCAATGGTTCCTCTTCATCCTGGAGAAGAGTGACTAGTGGGGTGCCACAGGGTTCTGTCTTGGGCCCGGTCTTATTCAACATCTTTATCAACGACTTGGATGATGGACTCAAGGGCATCCTGATCAAATTTGCAGGTGACACCAAACTGGGTGGGGTGGCTAACACCCCAGAGGCAGGATCACACTTCAAAACGACCTTGACAGATTAGAGAACTGGGCCAAAACAAACAAGATGAATTTTAACAGGGAGAAATGTAAAGTATTGCACTTGGGCAAAAAAATGAGAGGCACAAATACAAGATGGGTGACACCTGGCTTGAGAGCAGTACATGTGAAAAGGATCTAGGAGTCTTGGTTGACCACAAACTTGACATGAGCCAACAGTGTGACGCGGCAGCTAAACAAGCCAATGCAATTCTGGGCCTCATCAATAGGAGTATAGCATCTAGATCAAGGGAAGTAATAGTGCCACTGTATTCTGCTCTGGTCAGACCTCACCTGGAGTACTGTGTCCAGTTCTGGGCACCACAGTTCAAGAAGGACATTGACAAACTGGAACGTGTCCAGAGGAGGGCAACCAAAATGGTCAAAGGCCTGGAAACGATGCCTTATGAGGAACGGCTAAGAGAGCTGGGCATGTTTAGCCTGGAGAAGAGGAGGTTAAGGGGTGATATGATAGCCATGTTCAAATATATAAAAGGATGTGACATAGAGGAGGGAGAAAGGTTGTTTTCTGCTGCTCCGGAGAAGCGGACACGGAGCAATGGATCCAAACTACAAGAAAGAAGATTCCACCTAAACATTAGGAAGAACTTCCTGACAGTAAGAGCTGTTCGACAGTGGAATTTGCTGCCAAGGAGTGTGGTGGAGTCTCCTTCTTTGGAGGTCTTTAAGCAGAGGCTTGACGACCATATGTCAGGAGTGCTCTGATGGTGTTTCCTGCTTGGCAGGGGGTTGGACTCGATGGCCCTTGTGGTCTCTTCCAACTCTATGATTCTATGATTCTATGATTCTATGCATGTCCGAATGAACTTTTCTCTTGCAGGCAGACAAGTTCCTGACCACTCACCTGAGGGGCATGTGGGCAGCCCCCTCAAACCTGCACCACAGATCCAGGGCCACGGCCTGCTTTTTTCGCTGCCGGGCTCTGCAAAACTCGGGTTAATAATGCACATGTGAATGAGACAACCAACCTTGGCGGGCACAAAAAGGGGGTTCGCGCACCAAGGACCCAAGATCAGACATCAGGCACGGCACCTTTTATTGGAAACTGTGTATACAGACGGGGATGGGAGGAACAAAGTCTCCCGTGTGTCTCCCCACATCACAACCTTGTGTCCCCTGATGCTGCTTCGGGTCAAGTCTGGGTCCGTCTAGGTGATGAGGAGCTGCTGGGAGGCCGGGAGGCCGCAGGATTCTTTATGGGCATCGAAGAGCTCCTTCAGGGCCTCGACGTAGAGAGCGTGGAAGCTGTTCACCTCGTCCTCGGTGGGGCGCGGGTGGAGCGGGACTGGGATAGGCGTCCCCACTGCAGGAGGGAGAGGAAACATGGGCGGTTGGGGGGTCTGCTCCGCCCCTCGCCCCCACCCCATGGCAGCCAGGGCCTCCCCACCCCAGCAGCTTTGCACCCTGGCCTTGGGTTTTAGGGGTGGCTTAGGTGCAGGAATGGAGGGGACCCCAAGGGTCATTTAGCCCAACCCCTTGATTAATGGCCAACCAACCTCTGCTTAGAAACCTCCAAGGAAGGGGAGAAGGAAGTCGGTGTGTGTGTGCACGCACGCACACAATGGCAGCTCCCTCCATAGCAAGCCCCATAAAACGAGGCGGCTCGTTTGATTTCTGCATTGCAGAGGGGTTGGACTAGATGACCCTTGGGGGTCCCATTCAACTCCACAGGTCTCCGATTCAGTTCTAGGAGAGGGCGAAAGGGAGATGCACCAGAACCTGCTGTTTTATACGATGCTGAAGAGTTTGTGGCTCTTTGCAATCAGGTTGGTGAGTTGGGGAGATTTTGGGGTGCAGGGCGAAGGCTAAGGAAGGAACAGGGAGCCTTGTGGGTCCTTACCCACCACCGTGAGGGGAGCAGCCATGGGCAGGAGCCCCCAAGAGGTGCTGGAGAAGAGGCCCCTCCCGCTGAGGAGACAAGGGGCCAAGCCGGTCAGCTGCTTGAAACCGAGCTGGAGGCGGCGAACGAAGCTGCCGTCAGGGAACCGGATCTGTCGGTAAATGTCGTTCTCCCCAAAGGTGTAAACGGGCACCAGGTCAGCCCTGCGAGGAGGAAGAATTTACTTTCTGTTTTGAGAGAGGGAGAGACAGCATGTCGCTGCGCTCTCCCGGGTCGTTGATTTATTTTGCTGCTGTACAATAAATCGCTTCTTAGATTAGAAGGAGCTGTGTATGAGGGTTTCTCTGCATGGCTCAGATTCCTACACACACACACACACGCTATCTGTTATGCTCTGTTTAAGCCAGGAGGAGCAGAGCGGCGTATCGGAAGAGTGCTGGACGCCAAAGCACTTCAGCTGTTTGCAGTCGAAACAGACGTTCAACAAAACAGGTTATGGCTCATAACTCACAGGTTATGGAGTCAGCCGCCCAGGCGATGTGGCAGACTCTTGAGAGGGTCCATCACAGAACCACAGCAGGAGCCAAAATCAATGTCGCCAGAAGTTTGTTTGAGCTGAGGCTACGTCCGGGGGACAGCATCAGAGAACATGTGACAAAAATGGTGGCTGTGTTTAACCGACTGAAACAGTTAAACGTGAATTTTCCAGAAGATTTGAAAGTTTACATTCTTCTGAGCTCACTAGACAAGAGTTATGACAATTTGTGCCTAACTCTAGAAGCCATGCCCCCTGCCGACCTAACGTTGCAGTTTGTCTCGGGTCGCCTATGCGATGAGGAGGAACATCGGCAGAGAGAGGGGCACGCGCTGGCCCAGGCAGTCCTGCTTGCAAGAGTGGGGGGCAGTGAAAGAGGACACCGTGAAGGCTTTTGCTACGAGACGTTATCGTTGTGGCTCGGAGACCCACCTGCGTAAACAGTCCCAAGGAAGCTGCACAGAATGCCTCCAAGACCGTTGCCCCGGGCAACCAGATTAAGGGAACGGCCCGGCATGGGAACGCAAGGAAAGGTCCCAGGGGAACTGAGAGAGATGCAACGTCACGTCATTTGGCAGTTTCCATAGGAAGGACAGGGACCTTCTGTTCTTGCAATTGCTTCATTGGGGCAAAATCCACCAGGAAGCACTGCCATGCTCACTAGGCCCGAGATATTGCTGACCTGCGCCTAACACACACCCCCCGGACCCCCCCCGGACCCCTTGGTGCCCCTACCCGTGTTGCAGCGCCAAGCGCACGAAGCCCTTCCTCCCCTGAAGGCGGACACAATGCTCTCCGGGGGCGCTGTCCAGGGACTCGGACGCGCCCCCCACCACGATGGCCACCGCGTGCCCGGGGGGACCACTCAGGAGGAAGTCCAGGGACCTTTTGTTGACTGGGACCATCCCTGGAAGTGGGAGAAAGCAAACATTCTTGTGGGTGTGAAACATCTCCAGGGGTTCCCTGCTTTGCGGAGGGTTGGACTAGAGGACCCTCGCGATTCTCCTACAACTCCGAAATTCTGCGAGTTGGTTAAAGGGCAAAAGGGTCGCTGGCAAAGGATCAGCGCGTCTGGAAGTGGTTGGAGGAGACACGGTGTCTAACTGATTGAGGTTGAATCCTGACAAGACAGAACTACTGTTTTGGGGGGCAAAGGCGGCGGGCAGGTGTGGGGGACTCCCTGGTCCTGAATAGGACAACTGTACCCCTGAAGGACCAGGTGCGCAGCCTGGGAGTCATTTTGGACTCACAGCTGTCCCTGGAGGCGCAGGTCAGTTCTGTGTCCAGGGCGGCTTTCTACCAGCTCCATGTGGTACACCGGCTGAGACCCTCCCTGCCTGCAGACTGTCTTGCCAGAGTGGTGCATGCTCTGGTTATCTCCCGCCAGGACTACTGCAATGCGCTCTACGTGGGGCTACCTTTGAAGGTGACCCGGAAACTACAACTAATGCAGAATGCAGCAGCCAGACTGGTGACTGGGAGACCACATAACACCAGTCTTGAAAGACCTACATTGGCTCCCAGTACGTTTCTGAGCACAATTCAAAGTGTTGGTGCTGACCTTGAAAGCCCTAAATGGCCTCGGTCCAGGATACCTTGAAGGAGCTTCTCCACCCCCATCGTTCAGCCTGGATACTGAGGTCCAGAGCCAAGGGCCTTCTGGCGGTTCCCTCCCTGCCAGAAGTGAAGCTACAGGGCAGAGGGCCTTCTCAGTAGTGGTGCCCGCCCTGTGGAACGACCTCCCATCAGATGTCAAAAGAAAAAACAATTAGCGTAGATTACGGTGTATTAGGCGACTGGGCAGCTGCCAATTCGGGGGGTTGACTTATATGGCCAGTCTTATACGCGGCAGCTTTGCTGGGCAGCAACAGTGGGCGGCGGGCTCCACTCCACACCAGGAGGAAGCCCCCCAGCAAAGCCAGCTTAGCATTGCTGGGCAGCTTCCTCCCGGCATAGAGCCTGCCACTCGCTGCCGCTGCCCGGTGAACCCATACCCAGCATATAAGACGACCTCTGACTTTTTGGGGAATTTTCCGGTGTTAAAAAGTCGTCTTATATGCCAGAATCTACGGTATCTTACTTTTAGGAGACATCTGAAGGGTGCCCTGTTTTGCCCCTCCTCCTTGACAAACACACATGGATCAGCTGCCCCTTTGCCAGGTGTTGGAACACAAAACTCACTGAGACATTGCTTTCTCTAGGTTTTCACCAGGGCAAAGCTGATCCATGTGTGTTTGTCAAGGAGGAGGGGCAAAACAAACTGTATTGTTTATGTTTTGTTGATGATCTTCTGATGTTTTGGAAGAATCAGGCTTCATACCAAAGCACCCTAGCTCAGCTGAAGGAGCACTTTGACATGAAGGATCTTGGTGAGGTATCCAACTATCTTTCTCTGCTTGAGACCATATAAGGATTTCCGCAGTTTACAGACCATTCCCTTCTGTATCTGCATCCCGTCAGGTGGAAGCATAAACAGCTCCTCGTTCAAAATCCCGTACAAAAAAGCTGTATTAATGTCATGATGGGAAACATGCAGTTTCTCCTCCGCAGCAATCTTGAGCATCAGCCGAATGCTCTCATACTTGACTGTGGGAGAGTAGGTCTCGTGGTAATCCTGTCCTGGTACCTGTGAAAAACCTCTGGCAACCAATCGGGCTTTGTGTCTAACTACCTTGCCATTCTGGTCTGTCTTGGCCTTGAAGACCCATTTGCTGCCAACCAGTCTCATTCCTGGGACTACTGGTACCAACTCCCAAGTTTGGTTCCTGTTCAAGGAATCAACTTCAGCCTTCATGGCATTAAGCCAAGGCTCAGCATCTTTAGAGGTTAACTCCTGAACCTCTTTGAAGCTTGAAGGTTCCCATACCTTCTCTGAGCTACTAAGAACAGCAGTTGCTGTCTTAGCAAACTCATCAGCAAATCTCTTTGGAGGTCTGCCCTTTGTGGCTCTCTCAGATCTGCGTACTAGACGCAAGTCTTCTGGACTCATCTCCTCCTTCTTAGGAGAAAAATGACCAATGGTGAACAGTGGTTGTTCCAGTTCATTGTCAGACGCATCAGATGGTCTGACTGAGGCCTTTGCGCTCTTGTAGTCTGCTGTGTCATCACTGTCACTGACACCAGCAGCAGCGCCACCCACTGAACTGGAATCCGAACTCTGATCATCATCATCATCATCATCCTCAGCAGCTTCCTCAGCTTTAGCTGCTTCTTTGACATCACCTTCATCCTCCTCTGGGTAACTCTGGAAAATTCCCACATTTCCCCCCCACTTAGGATTGTACTCAACACTCTTTGTGAACTTAATGGACTTAGAGTCGGTCATCCACACCCTGTATGCACCTTTTTCGTACCCCATGAACAAACCATGTGCCCCACGCTTCCCAAGCTTGTTGCTTTGTGGGGTGTGTACCCACATGTCAGAACCAAAGATTCTCATGTGCTTGATGTTGGGTTTCTTACCAAACATCTTCTCATAGGGGTACAACCAATAGGTGATGACAATCTGCAATTATAAGTGTAAGCAAAATTCGACAGAGCCTCCCCCCAATACTTATCAGGGAGATTGGCATCATGCAACAATGTTTTCATTCCTTGCAGCAACGTTTGATTTGCTCGCTCCGCAAGTCCATTCATCCATGGCGATCTAGGCATTGACAAGTCATGCTGAATTCCCTTCTCAGTCAGGAAAGCTTCAAACTGCTGAGAAGTGAACTCCCCGCCTCGATCAGTAAACAGACAGCCAATGCGTTTACCGTGAACATTCTCCAACCAAGCACAGAATGCCTTGAACTTAGGAAACGCTTGCGATTTCTGCTCGAGCATAAACACATGAATGTACCTGGAAAAAGAGTCAATTAGAACCATGAAGTACCTTGCTCCACCCAAAGAGGGCGCAAGTGGACCAACCAGGTCTGCGTGGACTAGCTGGTAGGGTTTGGAAGCCTGCCTGCTAGACTCCTTGCCTTTTGGAGCAACCTTCACCTTGTTCTCTGCACAAGATACACATTTCATGTGAAACTTACAGGGTTTGATGTTCAAACCCTCAACCATCTCTGGCATCTTGGCCAGTTCCTTCCAAGAGAGGTGACAAAACCTTCTGTGTGCATCGTGAATGCATCCTGCATGAAGAACTTTGTTAGTTTGTGCAACACAACAAGAATCAACATTAGACACAACAGCACCAATGTCCTCATAAGTTATACAGAACAAGCCATCCATAAACTTTGCATGCAAAATGTCCTCTTTGCCTTTTCTGATGACACAGACGCTCCTCTTGAAGGAAATCTCAAAGCCACGCCCAGTCAGCTGTGGGACACTGAGCAAATTGTCTGCAGCGCCTGGAACATACAGTACATCTTTGATGGTCGTGTGCAGACTTGCCAGTTTCCCAGTACCTTCTCCTGCGATTCGCAACGTCTTTCCATCAGCCAGGTGGATCTCACCTTCTTGAGGCGTGAAGGAGATAAACAGGTGCCGATTGTTGGCAATGTGCCTTGATGCACCAGAATCTACAACAAATCTGGCTTTGGCCTTTGGAGCAGCCTTTGCAGCAAGCAAAACCTTGTTTTCCACCGGCGTGGGCTTTTGCAGCTTGCCCCCCTGCTCCTGGCCATCAGACTTGCCTTTAGCCTTTGGTGAAGCTGTGCCAGCAAACAAAACCTTGTTTTCCACTGGCGTGGGCTTTTGCTGCTTGCCCCCCTGCTCCTGGCCATCAGACTTGCCTTTAGCCTTTGGTGAAGCTGTGCCAGCAAACAAAGCCTTGTTTTCCTCTGGCGTGGGCTCTTCACCCTCCCTCTGCTTCTGGCCATCTGCAGGCATCTGCCTCTGTTTACCTTTGCCCTTCCGGCCTCTGCAAAGGCGATGACCTTGGCTCCCATGAGAAACAGAGTTCTCAGCTGCCGACTCCTTGGCTCCCCCTGGAGGCTGGAATGCTGCCTGGGATGATGTGACAGTCAGCTCCCCCTGCAGCTTGCAACCGGTGCCCTCGGCATCCCTGCATTCACTCTCATTCTGGGAAACAGCCAGGACCTCCGATGCAGTCAAACTCTGGGCTGGGATGACTGGCAGATGGGCTACTTTCAAAGCATTCCACATCTTACGTGCAGTGGTGTTGCCAGCAAGCGTTTTAATTTCCTCCAGAGAGACGGACAAGACTATTAGGTCAATGGCCTTCGAATTTTCGGCCTTCCATCTATCTGTCAGAGGAACTGGAGGGGCCTCACACACAGTATGCCACACTCCAAACTGACGCAGCAAACTCTCACACCATTTTGCCCAGGTCTGATAGTTGTGCCGATTTAGCTTTGGGCACTCAGCAGCCTCAGAAGCTTGGAAGAACTCCATTCCAGCTTTTTATTTGAGCCATGAGTCTTATTCACTTCAGAGACGTCTTATCTTGGCAGCTCATAAATCTTGAGGCCTGCTGGGCTCGACTCCCAGACCAATTAGGCCTGCCGGACATCAAAAGCTCTTGCCGCGGCAAACAGAAAAGCCTCACTTTCGCTTTTCCCACATACCTTTCAGCAGTCTGTCGCAGTCTTACTCTCCTGTAAGTGCTGTGAATCTGGGCCCGAAACCTGTTGTTGGGATACTGCCAGGGAGATAAAGTCCATCAAGGCCCCCAAGCCGTCTGCCGGACGATCCATCGACCTCCCGTAGGCACGCAGCGACATGAGTTTCTAGAAAATATCTTGCCACATTCCAGAGCTCATGCACGCTCTATCAGCAGATAATGCACAGCCAAAAGTTGCACTCAGGAGAGCATTATTTACAAGTTTATTCAGCATTGATCAGAACACAGAAAAACATGACTGCCTGCTTCAGTGTCTACGACACAGAGAGAAAACGAAAGCAACAGAAAACATAAACATCCTGTGAACAGGAAATACGCAGACTCTGTGACTCACAGCCTGCTCCCTTTTAAGGTGGAACGGAAATATCCTAACAGTTTTTAATGTTTGGTGTTTTATCGTGTCTTTAATATTCTGTTGGAAGCCACCCAGAGTGGCTGGGAAAACTCAGCCAGATGGGTGGGGTATACATAATAATTATCATCACCATCATCATTTGCACAAACAAACGCCCCTTTTCATTTGCACAGGAGCAAGAATGGCAGGAAAAACAGACATTTTTGCTGGGGAATTCTATTCCCAGGGGCTCTGGGAAGGCATTCCTGAGACTGAGACTGGGGTGGTTCCTCCCATTGGATGGGCCAGGCAGGGTTCTTGAAGATGGTCCTTAGGGGAGGGGTCACCCCACTTCCCCACCCCCACCATTCCTCGCCCCGTTGGCCTCACCTGAGCTCATCATGTACTCCCGGTAGACTGGTATGCGGAACAACCCTGTGAGGGCGGCCAGGCTGGGGCGGAGGCCAGGGAAGGTGCGGGAAAAGCCCGTGGCCTCGGTGCAGAAGGCGGAATAGGCACCCGCGCAGATGATCCCGTGGGGGTGGGAGCCCAGGACGTAGTTCCGTGTCGGGGGCAGCTCGGCTGTTTTCACCAGCTGCAAGGCAAGAGGGGCGAGTCCTTTGGCATTTGGACCCCCACCTGAATGTCACATTCAGAGGCCAGCAGCCTTTGACGGCCGCCGCCTCCTGCTCCTCTGTGACCTGGTCTCCGGGGGTTCCAGAGACCCTGAGCATCCTTCAGGAGCCCTGCCAGCCCCTTCTCATACCTTGATGGGGAAATAATCCCGGTGGAACTCACAGACTCTGCAGCGCCTCACCCAGTCGCTGCGGCGCCCACCTGCAAAGGCAAAGGTTCAGGCAGGGGACGGAGTCAGAGAACTGTGGGGTTGGAAGGGGACCCCCAGGGGTCATCCAGCCCAACCCTCTGCAATGCAGGAATCGCAGCTGAGGAATCCCTGGCAGGTGACAACCCGACCTCTGCTTAAAAATTCATTTAATTATGACGTGCTGATGTTTAATTTTAGTGTTTATTATTAGATTCTAATGGATTATTGCATATTGCTTTACTTGGTGTAAGTTATTTCAAAGTTATTGTGACTTTTTATGTAAGATCTGATTGTTACTATTAATACTTGATGTTTTATTATTATTGTGTGTGTATGTTGGAAGCTGCCCACAGTGGCTGGGGCAGCCCAGCCAGATGGGCAGGGTATAAATAAAATTATAATCAATCAATAATGAGGAGCAAGATGCTCCTTGGGGTCCCTTCCAACTCTGATTCCATGTTATATTTTGGGGAGGGTTCTTTTGATTTGTGTCAATTACAGGATTTTGTGTGTGTTTTTATAGCAAAATTTAATAAGTAATGATAAATACATAAATAAATGCAGCTGATTTTTCTGCCCTCCATACAGAGAGAGAGAGAGAGAGATGAAATGCCTTCTGCCATTGTGTCATTTATTGGAAACTGTCTTGGAAAATAGCTAATAGTAAATAGCAGTGAGGAAAACAGGTTTGGGATGGTTGCAAGCTGCCCCAGTGGAAGGGGGTGAGCTGCAGGAGGAGGGGCAGGGCGAGGCAGCAGCTCCAGCTGTGTGGGTCTGGGTGTGGGGCTCAGCACCCTTCTCAGACAAGGAGAGGCGCCTTTCACCTGACCTCCGGGTAGGGTTGGGGGCAGTGCCGGATTTACCTATAAGCTAAACAAGCTCTAGCTTAGGGCCCCACTCCCTTGGGGGCCCCAAAAAAATTAAAGGAAAAAAACCTGGATGTACATATCCGAAATATAAGATAAAAAACAAATAAAATAAAACCTACCTACAGGAAGAGTGTTTTGTGTTGTGTAGGCTCCTGTGATGTAAGTCACGGGCCCCGCCTGCTAGCCTGTTCCCTTAATTATCCCTGGTTTGCTCATTTCTATATATAGGGTACCTACGATCTGCATCTGGGACGCGGGTGGCGCTGGGGGTTAAACCACAGAGCCTAGGACTTGCCAATCAGAAGGTCGGCGGTTCAAATCCCCGCGACGGGGTGAGCTCCTGTTGCTCGGTCTCAGCCCCAGCCCACCTAGCAGTTCGAAAGCACGTCAAAGTGCAAGTAGATAAATAGGTACCATTCTGGCGGGAAGGTAAACGGCGTTTCCGTGCGCTGCTCTGGTTTGCCAGAAGCGGCTTAGTCATGCTGGCCACATGACCCGGAAGCTGTATGCCGGCTCCCTCGGCCAGTAAAGCGAGATGAGCGCCACAACCCCAGAATCGGCCACGACTGGACCTAACGGTCAGGGGTCCCTTTACCTTACGATCTGCATGGACTGTTTGCATGGCTTTAGATACCTATGAGGTCCATCAATTACCATATAGCATATATTCAACACAAAAAACAGTGACAATTTGTTGTGAACAAAAGACAGCTGGACATATAAAGGGCCCCATCACCTTCAGTAGCTTAGGGCCTCATCAAACCCCAATCCGGCCCTGGTTGGGGAGAATCGAACTCACCTCTCTCTGGCGTATCCCAGTCGAAGATCCACCAGGCGAAATACAGGGCGCTGACAGGCCAGAAGGAGGTGAAGAGCAGGTAGGCCAGGAGAACGGAGAAGAAGGGACCTGGGGGGGGGGGGGAGGGAAGAAGTCCTGGAGATTCTGTGGAATCTTGTTTTTATGTTGTATGCTGCATATGTCATTGCAAAATTCTGATTTGAAAAACCAAATAAATTTATTTTTTTTAAAAACTAATATCACAATGTGGACTTCAAACCGGTTTTGGATGATATATCGATTTATCACCCAACTCTGAGCGCAAGAGCAGCGCTTCCCCCTCACTGGGATTCAGAGGCCCTGCCTGGGACCACAACCCCGATTTCACGGGACCCCCGAGGGTTTGATCTGAAGCCCCCCTAAACCCAGAAGAACATTTTAGGTTGGAAGGGGCACCCCAGGGCCATCTAGCCCAACCCCCTGCGGTGCTGACTCCCTAGTCCAGGCACACCTGGCGGAAAGGTGCTTTGAAAAAAAGAGGGGGTTTGGCTTTGGGGGGAAGGATGTGAAATTAAAAAAATTAAGGTCTTATATATATAATAAATGTTCATAAATGTACCAATCAAACACGTACATAAATATATGAATCACATGTCTGAAGCAGCACAGGAAAACAGCCTGGAAACCATTTTGACCCCCAAACTGACCAAACGATTTCTCTGCAAGGTTGAAGGAAAATGGAAAAGCCACCCCATTGTCTTTTCCTTCACAAATCCTGTCTTAAGGGTATGTCTGTGTTTGAATAGGGTGTGAGCCTGTGACCTGGCCCAGGAACTAAGCATTTGTCACCACGAAAGACTGGCCAGGCTCCCCAGGGTATCCAATCAAGTGAGCATTAACAGGTAACCTGCCAGACAGGAGGTAAACAACGCACTCAGATTTCTGCTGTAGACCGCCCTTTCTGCGATGTAGGCATGATGTATCTGGGGGTGGTCTTGGACTCCAGGGCGGCCAATTTAAAATGTCTATATAAAGGCGACCACACCTTGGTTTGGGGTCCTCCTCCTCCTGCGTGTGAAGGGGGCACCCTGTTGCAACAGTTCAATAAAGATCAGGCTTACTAGCTGCTTTGCTTCTCAATATTCTCTGGTTGGCCTCTGTTCTTTTCTCCGACTGATGGAGAACCTGCAAAGGACTCTCTAAGGGCTCTTGTGTCCCCCATAAGGAAATAAGGGAAGATTTAAGTTTATTACAGGGGCCTGGCCTGCCAGAGGACATCCCAAGGGCCATGGCCCCAGGAAGAGGAGGAGGCCAAGCTGCCCCTCTTCCCTGAGCACCCCCTGCCCCTCTCCCACCCACCCAACTTACCAAAGAAGAAGAAGGTGAGGACCCACTGGAAGACGCTAAGAGCCTCCAGGTGTTTCTGCAGCACCATCTTCTGACCCTGGGTCTCAGGAAGCTTTGGTCCCCAGGTAGGCCTGCAATAAGGACGCTGCTGTTACCCAGGGGAGGCAAAGGGGACCTGGCTGAGCTCTCCTCCGAAAGGAGACAAGGGGTGTCAGATTCCTTTCTTTTGACTCCCAGCCCTGCCTGGCACCTGCCTTGCTGGCCCTCAGCTCCCTCCCCTTGGCCCTCATCCCAGGGTCGCCCCGCCTTCTTGGCCCACAAGACAAAGGTTGGGGTGCCAGGATGGATTGCCCCATCTGCCTGCCTCCCTTCTCCAAACCACGGAGGAAGCTGCTCTCGAGGAGATCATCATCATCATCATCATCATCAAATTTTATTTATTTCCCACCCTCCCCAGCCAAAGCCGGGCTCAGAGCAGCATAAAATGCAATAAAAAGCAGGGAAGAACCGTTTTCAAAACAACAGATGCGTTTCAAAAACAGTGGGACTTAGGGTAGAACCATAAAGTGGTATAGTTGGAAGGGACCCCCAGGGGTCATCCAGCCCAACCCCTTGCAAGGCAGGAATCGCAGCTTTGGTGGCACGGTAGCTCTAGGGAAGAAAGAGTGCCTCTGAGCAGGTGAAGAGTGCTCTGAGGATCCGCAGTTGCAGCTGCCTTCCTTTCAAAGGGACCAAGCGCAGCTCCTCCTGATGGCCTTTAGGTGCCCCTGGAAGAAAGACAGGGTGAGAAATCACAGGGTTTCTGAAGCACCCTGTGGGTGGGGGTGTTGGGTGCAGTTCAAAGGTTGCCCCCTCCTCCTCCTCCGTCTCCTGCCAGGCAGGGCAGTGAGGTCCAATATGACCTGACCCTGGGGGGGGGGGCAAAGGTAGAAATTACGCAAACCTTTCTCTGGCAACGACATTGCTTCCTGCCTCAGGGCAGGGCAGCCTCTCTACAAATTAGCATTTATATATCCAAATACTTTCCTCCAGAAATCTGTAAGCCTCAGACATTGCATAAGCAGACGCTTCAAAGAGGCATTCTCGTTTTGGCACCTCCAGCAAGACGTCCTTGTAGATCATCCCTTTCTATACTGCTGTATCGGAGCCCAATATTATTTTTGGTTGTATAAGACGTACAGTATTTTTCGCCCTATAGGGCGCACTGGCCCATAGGACGCACCTTGGGGTTTTTTGGGGGAAATGAATAAAAAATATATATTTCCCCCCCCCCAGCCGCAGGGCTGGGGTGGGGGAAGCCCGAGCTTCCCCCGACCCCAGCCCCCAGAACAGGCTGCTATCCACAAGCCTTGCGAGCCCGCGGGAACTCCCACCGGGCTTGCAAGGCTTGCAGATAGCTTCCTGAAGCCTGGAGAGCGAGAGGGGTCAGTCGCACCGATGCCTCTTGCTCTCCAGGCTTCAGCGAAAGCCTGCATTCGCCCCATAGGACGCACACACATTTCCCCTTCATTTTTGGAGGGGAAAAAGTGCGTCCTATAGGGCGAAAAATATGGTAGTTTATAATCTAATGGCACATTAGCCACAGAAGGTAAAACAGTGGTTTAGAAAAATAGATATCAAAAAATCAAAACAATCCAATGAAAACATGAACACCCACAATTAAAATCCACAAATAAACATCAGAAGCGTGGAGGGCCTTCGAAATTCTGGGACTGTCCCTGGAAAATCAAGACATTTGGAGGGTATGGCAGGAAACTCTTAATCTCAAGGTCGCGGGTTCGAGCCCATGCTGGGCCAAAGGTTCCTCTTTTTCATTTTTTCATTTTCAATTTTACAAAGAATCAAAACGCAAACATCATATTTCCTTTGAATTCCCCCCCCCCTTGTGGACCCTTAGGTTATAATTTTTGTTCTGCATCTCCTCACTGACTCCAGTTATTATAAGTCCTTACTCCAATCCATGATTTGAATTTTTACTACACGTTTTCTGTCAAACCTAAGAAGGATTTTAGTTATTTACAATAATTTTTTTCAAATGCATTTTAAACTCTCCCCATTCTTTATTGAAATTTGATTCTTCCTGGCTCCTGATTCTTCCGACGAATCCTGCATTGCCGGGGGGGGGTTGGACTAGATGACCCCCCGGATTCCCTTCCAGCTCTACAATCCTATCAGTGTTCATAAGTTGCCCATATATACAATAATAGAATAGCAGAGCTGGAAGGGGTGGGTCATTAGTCTAGCCCCCCCCCCGTGCAATGCCAGAATATTTGCTCAGCGTGGGGCTCAAACCCATAACCCAGGAATGGGGAGGTGGGTTGGCTGGGGGTGGGGAGAGAGAGGAAAGAGACCCCAGCCAGGAAGAGCAGGGTTTTTAAGGAAGGGGGGGAGGAGGGGGAAGACTGATTTCCACTTACCGTATTTTTCGCTCCATAAGACGCACTTTTTTCTTCCTAAAAAGTAAGGGGAAATGTCTGTGCGTCTTACGGAGCGAATGTGTGGTCCCTGGAGCCGAATTGCCCAGGGGCAAAAAGCAGATCATGCTTCTTTTTTTGAAAGAGGGAAGGGGGTGTTGAAACAAAGCCGCTGATCGGCAAGCGATCGGGAGCGAGATAAGGGACGCTAGCGGAGGCTGCCTGGGAGGGGGGAGGTAAAAGCCCATGGATCCTCGGGATTTTAGCATTGGGTCACCCCAAATTCACCACCAGATCACATAGCATGTCCGTGACTACAGCCTGCACCCCAAAAATCACGCATCCACTGTTTTGTGGGGCCGCAATGCGGCAAAAACGTGGTTACAAAGCACAGATCCACATGGATCCTCAGGGTTTTTGCATTGGGTTGTAGCCTTTCAGGCCTTTCCCACGGGTCGGGTGTGCATTGCTCCTGTCAGCGAGCCAAGAAAGTTGCGAGAAGGCTGATCAGCTGGATGCGCTGCTGGCGGCCAGGTCATCTTTTACTGAGAAGAGGAGAAAGCTTTGTTCCTTTCAGCTACTTTGTGTTAAGCTTTGTGTTATACAGCAGAGCTAATGCATTTTAGGTTTGCATCCTCAAAGAAAGAATTTGGGAAGTCTTGAGGCCTAGGGAAGTCTTGAGGCCTAGTTGGGGTGACTACACACTAATTGGGGTGACCACACAGTCAGGATTTGGGTATCCTGTCCCTTCATTCCCCCCCCCCTTTTATTTTGGACAGCCTTCCGCCCCATGGAGGCACTGGCAGATATTCTTGGGCTAGTGCTATAATCTGGGGCCGAACCATTCGTGACACCATTTTATGCATCATATTTTGCAAGCATTGCAAGAAGCAAGGTACACAGGAGCAGAAAAGAAGCAAAATTATCAATGGGCCTAGTAACATCATTAAAAGTCCTCAAAACCACCCTAGGCCACTTTTTCAATTTCTGCTGCCAAATTTCGAATAGCTTCAGCATGGTCAGAGATGTTAAAGAAACAGGCCCCTCCTGTCAAATTTAACGCCACACAAAACCCGCCCTGTCGCGCCAGGAGAAAGTCCAGCCCTAAGCGGAGCTGAAGGACTGGGTGGCGATTAACCGGAGGGCTGTGGTTGTGGCATTTCCACACACCCAATACACATCATACACACTACCTCCCCCTTCTGAAGCCCTTGCCAAGTGCGTCGGGCAAGTAGTTAGAGTACAGCCAGAAAGAGTTCCTAGTGCGGACTCAGTCACGGTTGCCTGGGCTGGGAAGGTGCGATTGCAACGGGAGGTCCCCACATACGTCAGATTGTTACTGGCGCCCTCAGACTGGTTCACACACAGCCATCCAGGAATTCGGTGAACCTGGAAAGGGATAGAATGGTTCCATAAAAAAGAATTGTTTCCCAGAGGGCGGAAGCCAAAAACTGGGGCCGTAACTGAGGACTCATTCCAAGGCACAGGGAGGAGGGGCATTCCTCCCAAAGCATCTGTAGGTCCCAGAAATCCCAGAAATCCTTAAATAAGAGTCACGGGGAAATGATTAATGGACTTCAATGTCTGTACACTAATGCGCAAAGAATGGGAAATAAACAAGATGAGCTTGAGCTCTTGGTACAGCAAACTAAATATGACATAATAGGCATCACTGAAACCTGGTGGGATAAGTCCCACGATTGGAATGTAATAATGGAGGGATACAATCTATTTCAGAGAAACAGACCAGACAAGAAAGGAGGAGGAGTGGCGTTATATGTCAGGGATGTGTATACCTGTGAAGAGATCCAAGATTTAGAACCTCAAAGCCAAAGTGAGAGCATTTGGGTCAAAATTAAGGGAGAGAAGAATAACAGTGACCTCATTGTGGGAGTTTACTACAGATCCCCAAGCCAAACGGAGGACATAGGTGATGCCTTCCTGGAACAGATGGCCAAGCATGCAAAAGGAAGGGAGACAGTAGTAATGGGGGACTTCAATTACCCGGATATTTGTTGGATGTCAAACTCAGCCAAGAGCATAAGGTCAAACAGATTCCTCACTGGCCTTGCAGACAACTTCATTGTCCAGAAAGTGGGAGAAGCAACAAGAGGAACAGCCATTTTAGATCTGGTCCTAACCAATGTTGATAACCTGGTTAGTGGGGTAGAAGTGGAAGGATCATTAGGCGCGAGTGATCATGCTCTTCTGACGTTTACTATACAGCGGAAAGGAGCAGCCAAGCATACTAGGACTCAGTTTCTTGACTTTAAGAAAGCTGACTTCATAAAACTTAGGGAAGTGCTGGGTGAGATCCCATGGACAGTAATACTAAAAGGAAAGGGAGTTCATGATGGCTGGGAGTTTGTTAAGAGGGAGATAGTAAAAGCACAACGTCAGGCAATACCAATGAGACGGAAACATGGAAGGAGCCTAAAGAAGCCAGGGTGGCTATCTAAAGAACTTTTAACTGAGTTAAGATTAAAAAAGGATGCGTACAAAACATGGAAAAGGGGGGAAACCACCAAAGAGGAATTCAAACAAATAGCCAGCACGTGTAGACACAAAGTCAGAAAAGCTAAAGCACAGAATGAGCTCAGGCTTGCTAGAGAGGTTAAAAGCAACAAAAAAGGCTTTCATGGGTGTGTTCGTAGCAAAAGGAAGAACAAAGAAA